CGCTTCAGGGCGGAGGAGCGAACATGGTGCGCCGCCGCGAGGATACTCCAAACAACAACGCCCAATAACTGGGTTCCTTCTCTTCCTAACTCTACTGTTGGGTGGTTATTTGCTCATATCCTCCCCTTATCAAGTGAATGTTCCACGAAACTGATCACCTTTACTGGCTAGATGCCGTACGAGACGTTCAGCACCTGGCAAGCTACCACACTTGCGAAACATTTCGGCCAACATGACATCGTACTCAACGGCGTATTCCTCAGGAGTTATACGGTCAGCAATACCAACCTGGAAATGAAAATTGCCCAATTATTGCTAAGAGTGAATTGGGCTTCATAACGAACACTGGGCTGACATACTCGGGCAATTTTAAAAATCCTGTGAACAACAAAGCTCCCGCACAATACGAGCTTCATTTCGATGCACGTTACACGATTGCACCTATGGCACTCCGTTACAAACTTCATTTCTACTCCACGTGCACGGCATTCAGTCTAAGGAAATGGTAATAAACGATTGTGATTAAGGGGATAATATTTTGCCTAAGCGGGGGCGAGGGAGGGGGCTATAAGAGTCCGAACCAAACCCTCCATGCGAAAGCAGTTTTCGGGCTCTGTTAGAGTGGCTCTCACGATCCAGAGTTGTTCTTCGCACCTTCTCCCAACATGATCATTTCGGTCAATTCCTCAATCCCAAGTTTACCGTCGCTAGACAAGTTATGCCTATTCAACGATGCAACGTGTCTTCCTTAAAATGCACCACCTCCGTGAACAGTTCGATGCTTGCTAACCCATAGAAAAAAACACCTGAGGTGACAGCCCTCCCCCCCCTTACCTGGATTGCCCACATGATGACAGGAATTGCGTGAAACTGCACTCTCCCTGTGAGCCAGTAGTACTGCGCCCTATACTGCAGTGGTTTGATTATTTAATAATGTCCACACCTTTGTGAATAAAAATGCGTGCCGTATATTGGTGGTGTAAACTGGAATGCTTCAGATAAGAATTACCCTAAAATCCCATAGATAAGAGCGGTCCATAGATAAGGGCGGTTTGTGCTAGTTGTTGTGAAATAAACTTTTAAAAATGTTTATTTAAAATCATTTTTTACCGGTAAATAACACCGCTCTTATCTATGGAATTTTACTGATCGAATGGGCTCTTCAAGTTCTATCCAGAAATCAGATTCCGGCATTTCTAGAGAGATTCCGGCAGAAATTCCGTTAAAATCGCTATTTTTCTATATGAATTGTTTATTAAGTGGGCGGGGTTTAGAGTTGAGGGGCGGAGCTTCTTCTAAACTTCTTCTCCGATTTTTATTTATCCATCCATCAAGTTAGAGGGGTGACTGCTTTCAATTTCAATTTCATTCCAATTCATTTTGTTTCACCGGAAATGCAAACCGCTCTATCTATGGGAATTTTATGGGTATATAATTTGAACAGATGTAAATGTACTAGTAACCTGATCCAACAGCCAGGCGATTGCCTCCATGTTCTTGCGACCCATCATTCCTAGAAGAATAATTCTTCACAAAAAATATACCCAATATTCCACAGTAATCTACCGCAGTCCGCCGCCCTCACATTGCCTTGCTCCCGAGCTTCCTAAAACTTTATGATTCTTAGCATAGTACTGCACTAGCACGCTTAACCTATCATGCAAACTGGCCAGTGGTTTCCCAGTCAAATGAAGGTACCCTCGTCATCCGGGCAGTTGATTAGGGCGGTCGTCAACGGGCCGCAGCGCGTGCCAGGAACTATTTGCTTTTTCCAGGCTAATTTAGTCATTTTTTCCAACTTTTCACTGTTTTGGCTACTTTTTCCCAGATTAGCAGCTCCTTATCTTCACAAGGTGGAAAAAATGACTAAATTAGCCTGGAAAAAGCAAATAGTTTCCCTGGCAACGCGATGCGGGCCCGATTGGACGACCGCCGCTAAGTCGCGGCGTCACGCCTACGCTGACAAAAGTGCCCAGTGAAAGACAGGAGCATGCTTAGGATCTTGATTAAGGATATAGCTGAATTATCGGCAGCGTAGCCTGGCAGATTTCGTTTGTACAACAGAATGCATCAAATTAAAAAATACCGCCGAAATAATCACCTCCTTTCAATTCCATGGTGAATTGCTTGCCAAATTTATTAAGCATAGCTTGATTGGCAAGTGTATAACTGGGTTCAGTGTCAACTAGTAGACCATCGAAATCGAATATCACATGAGTGACTGCCGGCTTCTTGGCTGCCATACTGAAATCTAATAATCATGAGTAAAATAGTAAAGAATTTACACAGGAAGCTGCTTACCTCCTCAAGCAATCCCGCTTTCAGGTCCTTGGGCCTCAATTCTTCAGCTTCTTCAAACAGTGCTTCACTTATGGAATAGCGACGTTATAACAGTAGCGTACAAAACCGCCCAACAAAACAAGCGCGCCATGGTTTGCCCACCACGAAAGAAAACCGCAGCGACGGTTGCCGCTTGGCGCTTGCGCAATCGTGGATAAGGACGTAAAGTGAGGTGAAACTATAAGGCCGCTGCGGAACCTTACGGACTTATTTGACGAGGCTTGTAATGTCGGCCTTGTGGACCCACGGGCAACGCCATGCGTTTGTGGTCATTTCCTGAAAATGGCGACGCGCTTTAGTTCCATAGAGTAAGCGACCGCCCCCTCCTCCCCATGCTACTAGCGGCTTTGCTTCCCCACGCACTTTTTCTGTTTTTTTCTCCGACAAAAAAATTTTCCGGCTTTTTAGCGACAATGAATTTTCCCGACTAGCGGGGGTAGAAGAAGGGAGGTCATCAGAGGTGGCTAACGTAGTTGTGAGGGGCCTCGGCGGACGAGTGATGGACTGCATCGACTCCTTCTGCTTTCGCCCTCGCAAAAAAGAAGTAATTTCATGTTTAGGACATGGATATAACACCGTCCTAGCTTTATTCAAAAGCTAAAACAGTTAAGGCTGAAAAGTGCGAAGAAGGTCTTGTTAGGATTGAAGGTTTTGCCTAAAAATACAATACGATTTGTTGGCCCTTTTTGTTGAATAACTTGACTATTAAAAGTATCAAACTGTTTGTTGTTTTCAAGCTTTCTGTGGGGATCTTTCAGCAAGATCCGGTGAATCATTCGGTTTGTTTTTACATCTGATTTTGCCGCTGGATTAACGTTCGCAAGTAATGTGCAATGGAGTTGATAGCGGCGACCGGATGAGTCATCACTCAGCCGCGAGCGCGCGGCCGGCCTCCCAACTACGTTAGACCCATCAGGACTTAAAAGGCTTGATAAATCGCTAATATCAGATGTAAGATTTCTAGGACCTGGCTTAACAGGATTCGTGGCGCTGGACAGCGCTTCGTGCGTCCTGTTTCCAAGGAGGCTACCGCGCTCATACGATGCTATCGAGCAACCAACATCCATCCGCACACGCCTTCCATGAGCCGCGCCCACGGACGACGTTTCTGACGCTCGTATTCATTCATTTGCTAAGCAAATTATGAAGCGAAGGGATTGGTATGAAGCGGCCGTGATGCTGCATGCATACATGGGTACATATATGCAGCCGTATCTTCGGTAGCGGTGATTGGCAAGATGCCTACGGGAAACTCGTCCGAAATCGATTTTCAAGTCACTGAGAACGGAGGCTTTTTCTTCGCAGGATTTTGACCGTTTCACTCCGTTCTTTCGCCATTTTCCCCACTACATAGCGCCCTACTAGCATTTAAGGCCGGGTGGGAAACCATCGTGCCCACTGCCTTTAACCATCATTTTCAACCCAGTGACACCGCCCTATTGATTTTGAGCAACAATGCTCGCGAGAACGCTGGGCTGGTTAGCGGCGCTGCTGGCGCATACTCTGATATAGGGTAAACTGATATTTATACTTTCATAGCCGCTGGAAACGCAGCTGTACTGACACGGGACACGCTGGTGGACACTCGCAACGCTAGATCGATATCCATACTTTCCTAGTCGCTCGAAACGCTGCTGTACACTGGCCGATGGTAACAGCATTGGATGGGGCGAAAAAAAGATTGGTGGGTCAGCGGCGGTAGGATGTCGCGTTGCCGGCAAAACGGGCAAGTCGGAGAAACTCGTACAGTGAGGCTGCCAGGGTGCCCTTTCAGTGTTCTCCATGATTTTTTTTGCTTTTTTTCTCATTAGGAACACTTGGCGGGCTCGTTATCAAAGCCCACTACTGCACAATGTGCAAGTCGCAGGGGGGGGTTTGATCTCAAGCAGGTAGGCGCCAAAAAAAAACCGCTTTTCCATCCCTCACGTTCCAAAGGGGGCGATGTAAGTTATAGATTCATTGATTGTGATTGGACATTTACTACTATTATATTCAACAGCAACATTGTACACTATCGGCGATCTCCCGACCCAGGCCCTTCTGGGGCGCCATCGACGAGATACTGCCACGCGCACCTGAGTATCGGTGCCTGGAAGTTCCAAGGCCGTTGAATTTCCTACGCCACTTCTGCTTTCGCCGAACCCGCTAATGAAGGGGTTTTAAGGTCAGCGTGACACACTTGGATATTGCCGCCTTTTCGGGTGCTCGATGGCCGGTTCCATTCCAAGTAGCCGAGAGTTTTCACAACTGCCTCGCTTCGTTTCGCCATGTGGTGGTACCGCCTATTGCCTGTATGCAGTAAACGCAATTTATCAAAGATAGTACAGGGCGCAAAACACGAAAGACGAGTAAAATTCTCACTCGAGCTGGCCTCGATGTAGACGCGTTACCTTTCAGTTGTTATGTGCCTAACGAGGTTGATAGGTGGAACAATTTATTAATGGCCTAACGTTTCGACCCAATCGTCGTCTTCAGAGGCCTGAACATGTTTCAAGTTTTAGATTCGCAACCTACCCCACCAAGCGCCTCGTCGAATCTAGCGGTTCCGACGTAGTGTCGGGAACCCTTCGAGAAGACGCCACTACTGCAAGAAACAGGCTCACCAGTTGTTCCACCCTTTAAGCGGATAGGTCCGCAGCCACACCACAGAGCTGTTAGTAGAGAAATGAAGAACCCTACATTGTCTCCATGTGATGACATATCGTGGAGACGTACGTCACGCTCTGTCATTTTACAGTCCGCAGTGGGGTATAAACGGTAGTAGGTCACTGGTGATGGAAGGACACTCATCTCGATTGTTCATTCTGGGTTTCCTAGTGAATATCCCAGCTTTTCTAGCTGAAAGTTCCGTCTCATTTGCCAGCACACTGCACTTTATTTCGAATTCCAACCCATTGTGTTCAGCAACCTTGTGCCTCCCAAGAGCAGTTGTAAGAGTACCACGCCTCATGCTAGCAAGGTGTTCCTTGATGCGAATTGCCAAGACCCTTCCTGTTTCCCCTATATATGTAGAGTTACATTCCCGACACTGGATTTCATATATTACTCCCAGTTGCGCACAGTCACCAACCTTCCCGTGTGGGCATGTAACACAATTCTCTGATATGCACTGCTTGTCGTAGAGCCTATTACGAACCAGCTGCTTTTTGATGTTCTCGTTTGGTATATTCACCAACTGAACATCGTCCTGCAACTGGGCCCTTACTATGCTCCGTTTTATTGCAGCGCTGACCTTATCGGATATGAAGGGGATGCACAGGGGTATCTTGTTTCGACGTGGTACTTCTTGTGGTTCAATATGCCGCCTTCGTCCAGGGTATGGTGCCGTATAGCCATTCATGACGGCTATTTTCTTGGCTAGCTCTCGCGATTCGTTTCGTTCTTCATCTCCCGTGCACACTCCCGTTGCCGTTCGGAACATGTTACGGACAACAGCACGCTTCACGGCGATCGGATGTGGCTGAAGGTAGCGTGCACTCGCAAGGATGTTTTTTCGAGCGATTTTACGGTACCGCATGGGCCGTGAACTGTCGCGCCAAAGTGGGTCGTGGAGTCAAATAGCTAGAAATGCTCTTCGATTCACGTCACTCATTCCCTGAACCAGGGCTCATCATCGTTGGCGAATTTCCAGCAGGAGGTCGCATTTGGTCGCTGGAAAAGGGAGGGGGTCGTATTTGCTGGTGTGTGGGATGGGAATCACACCTGCCTGCTGACCTTTTGGGAGAGGTTGTTGACCTTTTCTGGTTTTTCCTGTTTCATATGTACTACATGTCCTCTCCCCACCCCGAGAGCTCGACGAGAAGGGAAGTAGCGAGGTAGGGGACGTACGGACTTGACCAAAATACCAGTAATGATGTGCCCCCCCCCCGTCCTTAACTACGATCACTGTCGCACATTTTTGTTGGGTGCGGCACAGTCCGCGACCCTGCGGAAATCGGCTGGCCGGGCGGGCGTATCCAGTGAACGCGTCAAGAGAGTTAGATACGTGTCGACCAGGAGAACCGCGACGCGGGCGGGGAAACGCCAGCTTTCCCGTTCTTCACTTGGGCGGAGTCAGCGAAATCAGCGTATCCGCTATAAGAATATCCACAGTCTGGATACATCTAAAGTAGAAGATCTAGGCAGCTCCAAGCATGCAGTGGCAGCGTCTTCCTATTCTTTTGGTAACGAATTACGAATTTGTCTCATCGAATGTGATTTTAATTGCTAATTTTTCATTTAACAAGAGCATCATGTGATTCTGCCAACACGTTCGCTGTAAAGCTGCAAAAACTGCACTTTATTATTGGCTGACTTGTTCCAGTGTCGACAATGTGCTCCCTAGTCTCGAAGAGTTCAAACCAGAAGATTTCGGCCTGCCAGCTTTTGACTAAAAAGACGCACAACAAGGCTGTGTTTACTACTTGCCGGGCATTAAGTGCGTTGCACTTTGTTATCGATATTTCAACACGGAAAAGTGGGCGTCCACGCGATTTTCCACGTAGTTTATCAGTTTTAAACTTCATGGAGATTGCTTCACTCATACTTTCTCACTTATTGTTATTGCACACACATTCTGCTTGTTATCCACAATTCATTTGTTTTTTGAAGGTTTGCTAATTTTTGTTGAATGAAGTTATTTTTCATTTTGTTATGCTATTCTATGGGAATTGTCGATGCAGTTGTCATCCTTGAATTGAACTATGCCTTCATTCTGATTTATCTGAATCTTTCCGGAACGACGTAAGGATGGGAAATGAAGCCAATTAATCACCACAGTACTAAAGTTCAGGTGAGAGATTTAGATGAGCCGATTAATCTTTAATTGATTCTCTAATTTCAACTGGCCACTGAGGGGTTAGACGAGCAGGGTGGTCGGGGTTGATCAGTCCTGGGACAATGTGATTTTTCTAGTATCACCCTTTCACCTAAACACTTTGTTTATTGCACGAGCCTTCCTTTATTGCACGAGTACGCAGTGTGGTTGAGCCTAGTTGAAGAGTTGTTCCTTCCGATGCGCATAGTGGCGATGCAGGTGTCCTCTGGAAAGGAGGGAGGCTCGCCCCCATCCCCTTCCTCGCTCCCCACCCCCAAACCAACCAGATCTACTCTCTAAACTGTTAATTGGCATCAGATCGTCTGGGAGGTTAAGAACACTGACCTGTACACAGGCTGGCCACCGCAGGTTTTTTGTATGGGCAGTGTACCACTATGATCCTGAATGGAAGTAAAATGCGTGCGCACACCAGGAAGGGGTTCATCAACCACAAGGACTTAACCTTATCCTTTTTTTGTATTTCACACTATTCGCGCCTTCACTTCGAACGTTTCATGACAGTTAAACTTTGATTGTTGACACCTACTGCAGTCGTTGAATGGTCTTCAGGCATTTTTACGAGAAGCTGTTTTAGATCTCGTAGGAACTTGCTCGGCAGCGATGAAGCCACCTGTGAAGATAACGCATGTAATACTAGATGTGGACGGCACTTTACTGGATACTGAAACATGTTATACAATGGCAAACCAAGCGATGCTGAAGAAATACGGTCGTGAATTCACACCAGACATGCAAGCGCGTATGTTAGATCCCTACTGTTGAATTACTATTTGATTCAAATAATGCTGACTTCTTAATATTTCCGGAAGAAAGGAAGAAAAGAGAAAGATTTGGAAGAATAAGAACGTTTAAGGGACGCCCTTTCACAATTCCCATAGTTTCTGTGCAGTTGTCCTCCCGCAGATGAAGGAATACCGTCCACTCAAAATTTCGGTATTCCTTATCATTTTCAGAGATGATGGGAAGAAGTGGTACGGAAGCTAATGCATGGCTTTTGAAAGAAGTGAGTATTCCCTCGTATTTCTTTCCTTTTTTTGATACTCTCACAAGCTTTCCCATTCTTCTATTTCATTTCTTTTATTAATGTTGCTGCAATCTAAAGGTTGGCATTTCTGATCAAATTTCTCCTGAAGACTTCACCGCGCAAAAAGATGCCATGCTTGCTGAAATGTTTCCTAAATGCCAAGCCTTCCCCGGTGCTGAACGTCTTGTCCGACACTTTGCCAAAAAACGTATGTGTTATCGAAATACCGTGTTGACTCTTACAGTTGCCCAGTTCGTGTTCTCTGAATGCGACGTTTTTAGAGATTCCAATGGCAATATGCTCAGGATCTTGTTGGCGCAAGTTCAAGCTGAAGGCTACTAACCACCATAGTTGGCTGGATCTCGTTCCCATAAAGGTGATTTCTCATTTGTAACTAAATGTGATTGACAAATATGTCACGGTGATGTGCGTTGGCCGCATCATTGAAAGTACATCCCGCTTTGAAAGATGATCAGCTACGCCGCTTAAAACCCAGTTACAAAATGGCGAGTAACCTGAATGAAAAGCAGAAAAAGGCTAATCCGAAATATCTCAGATGTAGTATAGGTTCTTGGAATTCAGTTTCCAACCTTTTGATTTTTAAAAGTTTTGAATAATGTCTCGGAATGAGATGGGGTCGCGTAGATGATGTAAGTACCTAAAGACAGGTCGTAAAAGTGGGTGCACCTGGTGATATCTCTCTCATGAGGCCATAAACTTTGGCCACGCCCCCACCTACTGTCGATCCGTCGACTGATCGAGCTGATCAGTCGATCTTGGGTTTCACCGAGCTCACGGAAGGTGAGCAGATGGGTCTCCCATGACCGCGTCTTGGTGATGGACTCAGTACGTGGTAGAGGGCTCCCTTGCCCAAGGGAAGTGATGAGCGCACGAGACGAGTGTAGAGCATCACTTCTTAGTTCCAGTCGGTGAAGACGTGGATTCTCCCAGTGTGAGAAAGTACAAGACTGCACACGATAGGGCGTACGATACGGCTACAAATGACAAAGACATAGGCGCGGATCATAGCGGCAAATGAGAGTTCGCTTATTGATTCAAAATGGATAGGGGATGGTTGATTATCTGCCTTTATGAAAATATGATGTGTAGTCAGATCCCTAGATGGCAAGGAAATTTTGTGGGATAAAACCTTTTTCACTCCTTAGCGCAAGATGTCTGCCCTATGTAATTAAAACTACGCACGTTACATCCACCCCTATTCACCGAAATAGCAAGGATTGACATGTCTAAGGTACTTGCGATCCAATTCCAAATTCCGGACACCCAGCGATTCGCAAACTTATTGAAGGCTCAATTCCAACGCGCCGTTTGTCCGTGCATAATGTGAAGAAGAGGAGTACAACGAATTCTCAGTTGTAGGGGTCAACCCTTCATTTTTATCACCTTTAGTCACCATTCGAAATGGAGAGAGCTTCTACTAACATAACAACCGCTCCACCAGGATAACTTCAGAGAAGAAAGTTGGGCGTTGCCGAGGCCAGTGGGCGGGACCGTTGCCTCGTCACGAGTGGGTCGCGCTTCCGTGACGTGTTTTAGAACTGTGGACTGATATGTTCTCTGTACTTCCGGACAGTATCACCTTGTACAAAGAAAGCATCAGAACATGGATGAAGCGTGCCTTCATGTGGGGTGGTAAAAGAGTAGAAGTGCCGTGAGGTTCTGAAAAAGGCTCCCATTTTCCGAAGCTTTTGAGAAGACATGAGTTTTTTTTTCGGATTTCAACGATATCAGTGAATATACGCCAGTCTTCTCAATCCCCGCATCCATCCCCTTCAATAAACTGCCCTAAAAAGTCTGGCATACTAACTGATTATGTTTTTCTGTATTCAGTTTTTTATTTCATCTGCTCGCGACGACTCACATGTGAATTTCATAGGTGCTCTGTGGAGATGATAAAGCTGTCAAGCGTGGAAAACCTTTTCCAGATGCCTTTCTCGAAACCATGCGAAGGTACGATCTAACCTAATTTTTCTTTGATCCAAAAACCTAGCCTGAGGAGCGACATGGGGCTACCCTCAACGAGCAAAAAGTTCAGCTTGTGGAAGCTGGAACTTCAGGCAGAAGGTAAATCACATCCATCTGTGTCCATCTGTGCCCCCCCCTACCTCCATTTCTTTCGCAAAGTCCGTG